GGCCAGGCGGCCTCCGGGCTCATCGCGGCCGGGCCGTGGGTTTCATGTGCGACGTTGGGGCGAGGAGCGTCGGGGCCGTGAAACCCAAACTCGTCGCCTTTTGAGAGATGGGAGGAGCGCGTGGAAGGGAGCGGGAAATGGCACGCGGAGAAGATGGAGCGTGACCAGGGAGCGCCCGGTTGTCACTCCCGAAGAACTCTGAAGCAACCGGGCAGGGAGTGTGACACAAAGCCAATGGGGACGAAACAGATCTGGGCTAGGACTGGGGGAGGCCCCGCTGATGGGCTCCCAGCCCCAGCGCAGACACGTTCCCACCAGGTCCCAGGCAGCAGGTCTCCACGGTGCCAGGAGTGATGGGGACCAGGACTTGAGCACGAGAGGGACCACAGGCCATCTGGAGAAGAAGCTGTGAGAGAGACTCTGACTCCCCTGTTCATACTTCTCTCCCCTGGGTCTGCAGCAGTGGCTGTGACAGGCGCTGACCATGGAAACACAAGGCCATGGGGATGTCTCTCCCAAGTGCCTTCAGTGGCAGCGTGGAAGGGCACGTGCAAGTGTCTGGGATGGCAGAGAGAAGCAGTCGTCGCTGAGAGCGGCCATGGGTCACCTCCCTAGGGAACCCAGGGCAGAGCTGAGCCATGCCATAGGGTCGAAGAGACTAAGCAAGGCTGAGGGATGCGCTGCTTTTCTCTTATAAGGGATGGGGAAGAAGATGGCAGGAAAAAGCCAAACCCAACACAGCTGGTGGATGGAGGGAGGATTTTCTCCCTCTACGTCATTTCCTCCATGCAGGACGGGACAGTTATGCTGTGCTCCTGCAAAGGTAGGCAAATATGCTACACTCTGTCCCTCCAATCTGACCCAGCGCACTCCCCGCTCCTACAGGGACTGGTTCTTTCCTTTCCTGGATACAGGGAAGGTGATGCTTAGCATAGACTTTTCTTTGTTCTCGTCTCCCCAGCTGCCTCTGAGATCACACAGACCACCCTTTTCCTTAATTTCTAGAGGGTCCAGCCAAGCATTTGGAAATACACCCTTGCAAGTTTAAAATAAACATATTAATGGATTGCAAATGAAGGTTCTGGCTGAATATGTGCCAGTAGCTCCGTGTCATGTCTGTGATGCGGAGTTATCATTAATGCAGTGCAGGTAGCGAATAAAAACGAACATTAAACTAACCCCATCACTTTCCCAGAGCTAAAGATGACACTTCTGGCTGATGCAGCATCTCTTCAAACAGCTAGAGGTTGCTGCGTTGCCCACAGACTGCTTCTCTGGGCTTCAGAGAGAGCACCCTCCATCGAACACCCAGACAAGAAGTCCATCGTACTTGTCCTCTGTAACAGCCCTGCCCTGGCACAGTCTGCCTGAATATCTGGTGAAGAACCAGGGGTGAGAGCTTGTTGACATCATGTTGGAGAGCAGGAAGATGCCTGTGATTTTAGAAATGGAGGAACCTATGGGTATGCATGCAGGGTGGGAAAGGGAAGGATATATTGTGTGAGAGGAGTGAGAAAACATCTGCGGCTCTTACTGTGAGTCAGCTCTGGATTTGCAGGCAGAGGAGGAGAGCTTTGCTAACGAGGATTGAAGCCTTGTGGCTGACTGGCTTAGGCTTGAAAACTAAATGGTGAGAGAGTGTGTTTCCAAATGGAGACAGGAGCAGAGGGCACTGTCACTCTCTGTGAACAGAACGACGGGAGAGCAGATGCTGTAAGAGGAAGCTCTGTCTCAGCAGGGTGACGGGCACAAGAACCATTCAGAGACTGAAAAGGAAAAAAAAAAATAAGTCCACCATGTGTCTGGGGGGAGGATCAAACACCGCAGCAGGCTTCATCTCACCACAGTCGAGATAAACCTGTGCTCACCATCCAGGCCTCCTGCTCCTACCAGGGTGAGGCACAGACCCACAGTATGATTCGGGTGGGAAGGGACCTCTGGAGGTCTCTGGTACAGCCTCCCACTCTGAGCAGGACATCTATCAATTGCTTGGCACCTTATCCCACCCACAACTGACTGTCACAGGATGGAGATTGCCCATCTCTCTATGACCCTGTTGTACTGTTTGATCCCCTTCACAGAACAATTTATTTTCCTAACATCTAATCAGAACTCTCCTCCTTGCCATTTGCATTTGTTGCCTCCCCAGTCTACAGCTCTGCACCTCTGGGAAGTGGCTGCCTCTGTCTGGTCTGCACCCTCCATGAAGTAGCTGAAGAAAGCAAGGAGGTCTCCATTTAGCCCTCCTTTGAAGACTTAAACTCTCCTCCTATGTCACGTGCCTGAGCTCCCTTAATCGTCTTGGTGGCCTTCACTGGACTCACTCCAGTACATCAGTGTCTTTCCTGTATTTGGAAGTCTGAAACTGGACACAGTTCCAGGCCCAACACAGAGACCCAACTGTTCTGGACACCCTTCTCAAGATGGTCTGGGCGCTCTTCTATCAAATCAACACCCCAAGAGATAGGGCTCATGGTGACAGGATGGTAAAATAACTTGTAATTCATATGCTGGCACTTGAGTTCAGGTTTCCTGAAGCTGTGGGACATGAAAATCCTCCTCCTTTCAGAGAAAGAGGTGGGAGCAGGAGAATGCCACCTCAGGTCTTCCCAGCCTAGCATCCTGCCTCCCACGTTTGGGCAGCACCCAGGGCGCAGCGAAGGGTGTCAGACAGGGGCACGCACACAGGGAATATTCTTTTGTAGCTCGGACACCTCTTGAACCGAAGAAAGTATCTTTGTCCTGAGTAAACCTCAAGAGATTTTCCTTCCAGATTTGTCCCATAGGTTTCTTAACCCTTACAGACACTGAGCAGCCACAGCAGTGTGTGGAAGCAGCTTAATGCCAAGGTGAGGGAGGAAGTATCTCCGTTTTACTGATTTTACCTCCTGCTAATTTCCCTTGATGTCCCTGGTCTTGTTCTCCTTGTCCCTCACAGCTGTCTATACCTCAGTCATATGCACCTCAGTCGTTCCTTCCAGGCTGAAGAGTCCATTCTTCCTGCCCCAGCCACTCTGGACTTCTGATCATCCTTGCTGCCCTTCTGTGAGCTTTTGGTTTGGGTTTTTTTTCAGGTCTACTGTATTCTGTTTGAGATTAATTATTCCTGAGTGGCAGTAGTCCACGCAGAGCCCAGTGCTGCCTATCAAAAATGAATATTGTTGTTTGCCTCAAGGATCAAGTCATATTCATTTTATGCAATTTCATCTGCTATTTTACTGCCTGGTGAAGGTGAGATCTTCACTCAGCCCTCTGGGACCACCTTCTGTCCCCATATTTCCTATGACCACATGCATATGTCTTATGAGGCCCATCTCCTTTGCATTTGCTAAGACCAAGTATCCTCTCTGGTATCACAAATCCAGCTGTTTATGTGCCCAATAATGTAATTGCCTGCCACAGTGGCCTGCAAAAAGCAAATAAACTCCAATACCTACACCTGAGATGACAGAAGACTCCTTCCAAAACACTCCTGGAATGCAAGACTATCTTGAGATCTGAACAAAGAAAAGCATTTCATTGGGGTTTGAGTGGAAGAACTACAAGTCTGATCAGGCCACTGTCAACCAACTGGATAAATACAGATTTGGAGTCCTTAGGACCACAACGTAAGTACTGCAACCACAAAAAACAAACTGCTGACCCAGTGTACACTGACTCTGACAGGTCACCAGAATCCAAGAAACTTTATTTGAGAGTAAAATTCCCTTGGGGGTCCTGGCTTTGGATCTGGTGGTGTCTGCAAGCACCACTCTCCTGGATTGCATGTCTGAATCCCCCACAGTCACTGCCTCTCCCTGCAGACTTCTCTCCAAACCCCTGGTCCACAGATGTCACTGCCTTCACACATGCCCAGGCCTGGGCATCTGCTGGGCTTGGCCATTCTCTTGGTGGACGTCAGTTGCTCCGCAGGCAGTTCTGGCTCCAGTTGTAACCACCCCTTCCATTCAGACCGAGGTTTGATACACCAGGGATAAGAACAGCCTGGGTCAAGGCCGAGTTATATCAACCTGAGGCACACATTGTACATGTGCATGCACAGGTGATGCACACACTGTGTGCTCCTGTGCGTGCCGCCACACCTGTATAGGTGCATACATCTGCGAACACCCCTGTGCCAGTCCCTTTCCAAAGTCACCTTCCAAATCACAGTGTGTCCTGGGAAGAGGAATTGGGGGTGTCCTGCACCTAATGACCCACACGGCCATCACCCACACGGCCATCACCCACACAGTGCCCTGCTGCCTGCTGCTGCATTCGTTATCTCTCTTGCCCAGGGAGGATCAGCTCAAAGCCCGTTGTCTTCCCCAGTCTGGAGCTCTCTACCCTCATCTTTCCATTTCTGCAGCTATTGCTGCTGTGCAGCTGTGGGCAGACAGCTGATCCGCAGCAAATCTGCTCCATCCGTCAGCCCTCTGCCAGAGAGATGCCATGCCACCAGCAATGTGATACAGCAGCTTGACAGGCAAGATGAAGGTGGAACTAGAACAAATCCCAGTTTTATTACGCGCTCTGTTTTCATTTGGTATTAAATCACTGCTGGTAACAGTTTGTGACACGTACCCACCTTTTATAGCCCTCTTTTGTGCTGTCGTTTACATGGAGACCAAATAAGCACCATCGCAGACCTGCTCCCAGGCAGGCCAGGGTAAACACCAGGCTGCCGAGGCATGCGACGCGCCCGAGGCCGGCGCAAGGACGCGGCTGCC